ATACGCTAGTCTTCTGTGGCTGCGCATGCGCAGTTCGAATAGGAGGACCCATAGTACCGTATCGTATGTGAAAAACCGGTTCCCTAAAACTCCCTATCAGAGAGTTATACGGAACCGTTTCTGCTGATCCGATACGGTACGATGGGCCCTCCGGTACTAACTGCGCATACGCTACTCTTCTGTGGCTGCGCATGCGCAGTTCAAATAGGAGGGCCCATCGTACCATATCGTATGTGAAAGAACAATTCCCTAAAACTCCGTATTAGAGAGTTTTAGGGAACCGTTTCTGCACACCCGATATGGTACGGTGGACCCTCCGGTACCAACTGCGCATATGTGAGTTTTCTGTGGTAGCGCATCCGCAGTTCGTACCGGAAGACCCATCGTACAGTATCGGGTGTGCAGAAACGGTTCCCTAAAATCTCTATCTCGAGTAAGGGTAAAAGTGTTACGTTACTCGTTACGTTTCCTTTGGAAGACTTCAAGGGGTACTCCGGCGATTTCTTCATGGCCCCCGATTTGCTTGAAATTTCGCTAAACTCACCAAACAACATCGCCAAAATAATATCCTAAATATTAGGTCAAAATATTTTTTTTCACGAAGTTATTGAATTGACAATTTTGGTCCTCACCGTGTTTTTCAAACTGAAAGTCTCTACTGGCAACAACGAAAAAGTAACGTCAGTTGAAGTGCCGGAGTTCACTCTTTGGGCTGTAGAATTTGTTCCCAACTGATTTGAAGCAGTTTCATGGTGTCAAATGAATGCTCTGGAAGCTCGCTCGAGGTCCCGCGCTCCAGCACGGAACAAATGATTGGCACTCGACTGGCAAGCTTGCCTTCCACTGACGTCACGGGACTGAAAAGTGCGGGTATATTTGAATGTTGGTTTTCGCACCATTTTCATTTGCCGATTTTGCAATAACTATTATAAATTTCGCGATACTAAATAGCATACCGGAAAGGGTAAAGGCCGGGGAGTCAGAAAATATAGTTAGTTGAGGTAGCTCAAAAAATCGCCGGAGTACCCCTTTAAACAAATCTATAATTTAATTTTTTTCATTTTTTAGTAGCCAAGCCATGTGAAATGTTTAGTTTTATGCGCTTCCTCTTGTGTTATCGTAAATATTTAGGTGAAATAGTAAGAAAATATAGAGTATTTATGTTCACTTTCTGCATGGATATAATGTTTCTTAAATTATGGCGCTTATGCATACATTTACCGTCAAAAGAGTGAAACGTGTTAATTCATAATTTAAAAAATAACGCAAAACTAACGTGCGCTACTTTTTGCAACGGTAACGGCAACGTGTTACTTTTATTTGCAAGTAAGGAGTGACGTATGTCGTTACTTTTTCGTTAACGCCAACAACACTGGTTGTCAGTCAGCGCTATCTTTTTGTGCAGCTAATTCCTGCTGTGTTTTTTTTTGTACCGTTAATATATCGTTTCGTAAAACAACACAAACCTCTAAACAGCTGCTGGTGTGAGATTCAACAATATTTATTGGACATTCCCTGAAGAAGCAGTAAAAGCCGTAATGTAAACAATTGTGTTAAGTGCCTGCCAACATCCAAGTGGCCTGGGCTGCACTGGGCTGTCTAATGAGTGAATATACAAAAGATAAATGCATGTTTCTGTGGAGAGTTATACGGTCAGGGGACCATGACGCAGGGGGCTAATTGACACAATCTGCCGAATAATTAAATAAGATATGTCAGATAACTTTTAATTACTAAAAACAAACACATTGATTTGATTAGAAACTTGCAGAGCGCATTCAAAACCGTCGAATCGGTGCACCGAAGTTAAAACTCTTACAAGCGGCACGGGGCTAAGGGTGAGAAAACACGAACCTTAGGCTCAAGTCTTGTTGATATGGACGCCTTAGTTCCTCCATAAAAACCGTCGATAATGTCAGTTGTTCATAATAACGTGGTAAAAACACATGCACAGGGTGTCCCGCCAAAACAAAATTTAAACTTTGTTTTTTAAGCATTGATAGAGTGCAGGCGAGCTGGTAATGAATCGACGTCTTGTAAACCCTAAAATGGGGAAAAAGATTAAAAAAAAGAACGGATGAAGACCACAAAATCTCGAACGCAGTTGAATTGATTTTAATTGGATTTGGATAAAAAAAAATTCAGCAGCGTTTAAGATTGTATTGTCTTCATTCGTTTTTTTCTTGTTCCCCATCTCAGGGTCTACAAGATGTCGTTTTGTTTCTTTTTATGTATAAACTTCGCATCGCTGAACGCTCTTTCGCCGCCCATTTGTAACGCCAGAGGTTCGAATCAGACGGCAAAGTTTCAGGACAAACCGTTATGTTATTCAAAAGTTATACGTGATTTCCTGATTTCAATGGGAAAATGGGGCACGTTTTTAGGTAAATGGCACCATTCACCTGCATGTATTCGTGATCCTCTGTCGGTCGCCACTTTCCCAATGAAAACTTCAGGAAATAACGTAACTTTTGATGGCGATAAGCGTTTGGTCTGAAGCTTTTGCCATCTGAATCGGACCCCTAGCTCTAAGTTTTGGGCGGAAAATGAGTGTGCGGCGATGCATAATTTATTTTCGCGACAAAAACAAAAAAAAAAAAAAAAAAGAAGAAAGACGTTAACAGTTCCGTGTAACACGAAATTAGAGCGCAGCTCTTGAGGAGGAGGAGGGGAGGGCACGAAGTGGAGGGTGTGCCTCTCCTCCCCCTCCGTGCCCTCCCCTGCTCCTCGCCTCCCATTTACCGGGAAATTTTCGGTAAATTTTCTGCTAAGCTTAGCTAAAATTTTCTCGCTAAATTTAGCAGGGAACTTTTCCCGCTAAATTTAGTGGGTAAACTTTTCCCGCTAAGTTTAGCGAAAAATTTAGCGAAATATTTTCCGCTAAATTTAACCTGAAATTTAGCGAAAAGTTCCCCGCTAACTTTGGAGTGTTAAGTGTCCCCGCTGAACTCAACGAGAAAATTTCCCCGCTATGTTTAGCGGGTTAAGTTTCCCCGCTAAATTTAGCCGGGAAATTTCTCCGCTAAATTTGGTTGGGGTGTCCCATAATGCAACGTGCGCGGTTACGCCGACGGCGATGCCGCTCGACCCGGAAACGGGCGCCTAAGAGCCTGCGCTCTAGAAACAAAAACTAATTGAGAGTCATTCCCCTCTGAAAGTTGTTGGCCAGCGAAGCTGTAGAGCACCCCTACAAATGATTCACCAAGTGACACAAAACAGCGCTTCACCAAATCTTAATTTACAGTATATATACATCATTTTGAAACAGTAGAGATAATTGCTTTGGGATCACTGTGATATACACTAATGGGCTCCATTACAACTTTGGTAAGATTCTTTGCGAGTTAAATCTATACATATAAAGATTTACATCTATCAGAACAGCCGCTTTTATAAATGCAAAGCTGTGACGTCACTCGACTCGAGCGGGAGAAGGCCCATTGTTCTCGGATGTATCTCCATTATCACACGTTTCAACGTCTTTCTTTAGCAAACTGCATATATGCATTTCCACACAATGGAGCGCTTTTACATGCAATTTTGTCTTTGTACACGGATACCAAAAATAGCTGAAATACTAGACATATGCAGCTTCGCTGTAAAAAGAAAAAAACAAACAAAAAAACATTAGGTTTTTCTGGAGACTTTGTATTTACCCAGCTTGTCCTCGAAAATGTCAACATTTTTTTGTTTATCCGTATCAACGGGGTACCCAGCATCTCATTATTATCCTTCATCCAATCAGATTGCGGCATTTTTCGACGCGAAGGCCGGAGGACCAATCACGAAGCGAGAGGCGTGAACGCGATAAGCCACGCCCCGCATTCCTGAAGCTGTAAATGAACATGGCTGGTCGATAGACATGGGAGCGTCTCATGCTTTTAACTCAAAACACGTACCCATATCTTACACTTGTATCCTGTTCGTCTGGGATGCGAACGAGAACGATCGGTCGTCGCCTACAGCGTGTTTTAATATCTTTCATTCATGCTCTGCAATAACTCTATTGAGTCTCCAAATTAAACAACATCCACGGACGCCAAAATTATTGACAGAACAAAAAATTTAACGAACAACAATATCAATAAGCAGATCGCGCAGGATCGAGCCCGCAACCGCTGTACCAACTCAAATTAAACGCCGGGAGAGACAATGACGTACTCAAACCATCGCCTGTTTTTTTCTTAATTGCTGATTTCAACTACTACTTTACTATGTTTCTTTATTATTTCAATTATTTCGTCGTACTTTTCTTTGAACGCAAATACTTTTACTGACGGTTTACCCTGACGTATAGTTTGAGAGTTTATGATGTAGTCGTGCAAAACCATGCACTTCGGTCTTTAGGGTTCTTGCCTGAAACCAGAATATAACGAGCGTCCAGGGTTCCCTAAACCGGACTGCGAAGCTCGAAGTTTGCACTTTACCCACCAAAAAAGTAAAACAAAATTGTGTTATGATTATTTTAAGGCTGCACTAGTGCCACTAACTAAGCTACGCTTCAGAGTAACGACACTTGGCCATATTGTGTCTTAAAATCATGGTTGCCAGTTATCTGAAGCATTATCTGAAATCACAGGAGACGCTTTTCTGTCCTCCACAAATGTTTAAACAGTTCGCGACAGAGCAAAGCAATATTACATGACCTTCTTAACAACAAATCTAATGCTGAGGAAGTCGCACTTTTGAATCATGACGATCGGCAGTTGCGTCTGCTCTGCATACGAGCCAAAATGGCAACACTGTCGGGGAACGGAGTGCCGATACTCTAACGCAGCTCATTTAGTGGCTCTAGGCTACACTAATCGTCTCCATTGTTGCTTAATGGTAGAAACCTCGGAGAGTTCTTTATGGGGCTCACAACGGGCTTAACACTTGCAGCCATGACGATAAAAAAAATTTCAGTGTTACCATTTGTCAAGAAAAATATCATATATGGGAGTTTATTTTTAAGCTTATCTAACTGACAAGAAAAGCGAAGCAAGAGAATAAAAACTCACCGAGAGAAATAAAGACAAAACTAGAATCAGAGCAGCATAATATATGGAGGTCATATAACTCACACTCCGGCACATGTTCTTGTCACGCGAATATTTTTGCCCGCAAAATAAACTGCGTGATGTTCGCCAAAAGAGGGTTTCCCGCAACCCTGATTGTTTGTTAAGTGCCGGTCGTCGTTACTCAGGGCACGAACGTCATATCAGCTGACTTCTCTTTCTCCTTCCTCCATTCCCTTCCCACTAACGACAATATGTTTCCCTTGTTTTAGCTCGTGGGAGAGCGAGAGGGAAAGGGAGAAAGATAAAGCCTTCGGCCTGACCCAAGCTGCCAGACAGAGAGGAAGTGATCCTCGAAAGCGACAACACGAGCTTGGAGCTTTTGTATCCGTCGATGTTTGTGCAGAAAACCCCAATTTCGAAGCCTTTATATTACCAAAATTAGGAGAAAATTGGGGCTGCCCTTTACGGGGAATATATTGAAGATGCGCACAAGTTATTTGGTTTTGGGTCTTCTGGCCTTCAGTGTCCCTCTGGTCTCCTCTACTTCGGGATCTACACGATGCAAGAATCAAAGCGGCGGAAACGTTGATTGGTGAGACTATTATTTCTCCGAATTTTATGCATATTAACTAATTCCAGCTTATTATTTTATACTCCGGTACCATTTTAGTGGAGCGCATTTCCCGGGTACTGGACTACGTTCGCTTTATTTATTTTTTGTTGTAAGTTATACTGTTGACGCAAAGACTGCTAGGTCGTTATTGTTTGCCTAGCTTTCTAAACATCAATGATCATACTTCTGCGCCACCATTTTTTTTTCAGCAGCGAAGCGCCGCTTACGTGAGAGAGAGAGAGAGAGAGAGGAAACTTTATTTAATATAACACTTGGTCGGCGTCATCGTTGTGTATTGCCGGCATCAAAAAAATGCCAGTGATGACAGTTGGTCGCCAGGCGTAGGAAACAGCCAGATATGATTTATTATGCGGGAAACATTTCCAAACGCTTTAAGCCACCAGGCCGCCCACAAATGTCACTCCACCTCGTTGAAGTAAGGGTACATTCATATACCACAAAATGTACACACGAACAGAAGGTAGTCCTTTTTATTAATTATGGCGGACTTTGGAGATGCACCCTTGATATTTGGACTCGAGGCTGAATAAGCTCAATGGCCAAGTTGAGGCCAGAAGAACCAGAAACACGTCATAAATTGATTACGTAAATTTTATTTGCTAAAACAATACCGTGAGTACTAAGGGGATTGAGTGTGTGATACTTTCTTACAGAAACGTAGAACAGATGTTTGTACAAATGCAAAAATGTGTCTATTCAGAATCCCATACAAACTGGCACTTAATAAGCTGAAATAATTACTAATTCTTACACCAATATTAAAAGGAGATAATACTTTTACTTCTTAATTTAATGAATCAGTTTAATATAATTTGGACACGGTGTTCCCAAAAGGCGACACCACAAAAGTCTCACCATATGTAACTAACTTACAACAATATTTAAGCACTTCCTAATCCTATTGTCCTGATGTTTAACTAGCATTTAAAGAAATACCAAACATAATAACAAAATTGCGACTTAAAACCGCCCCCGGATTAAACAAAATAATGTTACTTTTCTTAAATTGTTTCTGGCATAAACATCACCAATCTTTTCTAACTTTATTCAACTCTTGACTAACATCTCGATATTTTCCAAAAAAGTTGAAGAAAGGAAAAATAATCTTACTAAATAAAAATATAAAGATAAAGCAACACCCAATGCCTATCGCCCAATTTGCTTAAATTCCATACTCGGAAAAGTTTTATAACGTGCGCTCTATAGTAGAATATATTTCTTAAAAAAAAAAAAACATGCACACCGATTACAATTTGGGTCACACATCTTAAATCATCTACACAGGCTCTGTTTACATTTACTACACATCTGCAAAGACAAAAAAAAAATAAAAAATAAAGCAACAGCTGTAGCGATGGTTGCCTAGACTTCACAGGGGCATTTAACACACAATGTTATCCGGCAGTTTTGGCCTATTTAAAACACCATTCTTGCCCAAGTAATCTATACAATCTAGTATACTCAGACTTTCTTGATAGAACCATGACATACTATATCACCCCAGAAAAACAAGAAATAAACAAATGAATTAATATGGGATGCCCCCAGGGCTCTCGACTAAGTCCTTTACTATGGAATATTATACTATCAGGATTACTACAAAAATATTTTTTGCAAATACCATTTTCTCGTGGATGTCATAGAAGAAAACTCAAGAAGAGAATTAGACGAAAGAACTATTGAAATACTGCAAGACTAGGACAGTAGACATCCGAAAGAAGATTATATTTTAACCATTTGAAATGTAAATGTCTAATAATAACTAGAGGTGAACTATATAGAAACAGACCCCCAATAATAAAATTTCCCGTTCATAAGCTAGAAATAGTGAAACAACTTAAAATTTTAGGAGTCACTTATGACCCACTTTCGAACTTCCTACCACACCTTCAATATATTAAACAAAAAGTTCAAATCCATACAGCCAATATATAAAAAATATACCCCCAAAATTGGGGTATTACATCAAGCCAATCACGGGAAATATACTTACGGAGGCATAGATAGATATATAGTGTACGGATCACCTGCGTGCTGGAGACCATTAGGCAATTGACAGGTGTTAAGACAATTGCAATCCACACAAAGACTACCATTACTCAAAATACCAAGAGCGTTCCGCACAGTTTTTAACATAAGTCTACTTATAGTCTTATACTATGTAATATCATTCCAATTAACGTCAAGCTTGACGTAGAATTATTTGTGTTTAATGTATTCCAACTTAGAAAACTCGCCCAATTCGGTATCCTTAGTATTTTTCCCACAGAAGTATCATATCCTATAGAATAGATCTTTGGAAAACCCATCCGACAAAGAGATTCAATTTATCATATCAAAGAATGAATTTAATTACTCTATCTTAAATAACATGTCATATCACTCTATACAGATGGTTCAGTGTACTTAGATCAGGTGGGAGCAGTATTCATTATTCTGAAAAACAATAGAGGAATTAAAAAAAAGAAAAATATCGCTTGCCGAAACACAAGACAATATTCGATCCAGAAACTTTTGCCATATTAAGAAACCTTGAATATATTCTTGCAACAAGAGAGGAATACCATTTAAACATATACACGGATATCCTATTAGTCCTACAAGCATTGGCAAGTCCAAATATTGAAATTCCTTCAATTAATGAAATAAATCGCAGAATCCAACCAGTCAATACATTTATTACAACATCATTCTTTCACGTCAATAGCCATTCTAATATATTAGGGAACGATCTAGCCGACCAATTTGCAAACTCCACAAGTTATCACGGCCAATACATACACCTACCAAAATCAAAACAAAATAGATAACATACAATAAGGGGATTAGCACGTAGGAGATAGAATCACTCTTGGCAAACGATGACAAAAACACAAAAAACTTTTTTGAATGAATATTATCAACAAATCCCATCCTCATTAGTTTTCCTCCCTCTAGAAACATCACCCAAATTGTTACTGTACACGGTAGATTTCATGTTTATCTCTATAGATTTAATGTACACAACCACACTACAACCACACTATTTGTTTCTGTTGACAAACATGTACTAGTATGAATCATTACTTTACTACATGTCATCTAACAAGGCCATGTATTCAAACACTTTTAATTTAAAACATTAACTTGAATATCCGTGAGAAACTGTACTCAGCTCTAAAACTCACATAAATACTCTGGAGGCATTAGTTCAACTTATTTCAGACAACACACCATAAAAAATTAAAATTAAAATGAAATAAAATATAGAACAAACTGGGGAATGAAAGATATCAATCTAAAGAGAAGAACTATTGTAAAGAATTTTTTTTTACAAATTATCTTTTACCCCAAGTAAAAACGAAATCCAAGAAGAAGATAACCAGCAGTCACTTTTACACACCGAACTGCAAAAATGCACACTGTCAATGGAAGACCGAAAAGTCGTGGATAAGGGGTTTGGACCAGATCCATTCTCAGTGCTTCCTTAGCTTTTTAGATAAAAACTTGCAAAAATACATCTTATGAGAAGACTCCATCTTTAGTTACGAGAGCCGTGGATTAGTTTCTGGCTCGGAGCTTCTCCTAGCTTACCATCCTGAACCAACACCACAAACAATGGCATTTGAAAGACCCACAACAAGATCAGGGGTGTGAGCCAGTTTCATTCCCCGGGATTCCTTTAACCAACCATGACAAGCATCCACCAATAGAGGAAACCCCAAGCAATGGGTTAGGAGGACCTAAGACTAGTTCCAGGTTCTGGTCTTCGCACCAAACATAATGAGAGTATCAATAACAAAACTGGAACGAAAAATCACCTACTCTCAACATAACGATGTTCAGGAATACACAAGAAAAACACAGTGAAAAACGAAAGAAAAGTTGATATTGTTTTACAACACTTCAAGACCAATCAGCAACAACCTACAAACCTACAACGTACGAAAAGTAATGCTGATGTGAACGACTAAATATTTAGTGTAGGCTTCAAGACACAACCTCACCCCTTCGAATCCTCCCCTTCCGAAGAAAAAAATATTTACGGGAACAGATCAACAACACTAAAAATGAAATACGCAAACAGGAAGCCTAATAAACGGGATCATTCTCTTTCGGGGAAAAATGTAAATATAAAAGTACCAGGGTACAGTTAAAAAAAGCACTCTAGTTGTGAAAAAACATAAAAGAATTAAAAACAACAAAGAAATAAAATGATCTCTGCTCTTCCCGCCCCCCCCCCCCCAAAAAAAAAAGAAAACACCACACACACACACACACACACACACATAAAAATAGGGACAAAGACAATCATTAAATAAAATTAAAGCATACATGAGAGTACAAAGATACGCAGATATACATAATTGGTTTTATAAAAAAAAGTAAAATACTAAGATTTTTTAATTGTTTCCAATTCAATTTCTGATAGATTCCAATACGAAAATTCTAAAAAAAAGAACAAGACAACTTCCTCGTCGGCAAGAAAACCAACGACAAGTGGCAAGACCAAGCGGAACAACATTTAATAACTTAATACCCAAAAAAAAAAAAAAACCACCAATAATTATGAATGCCTGCAAGCTTTTTCCAAGTTCGCGTACAATGCTAAGCCTCAACTGCCTCCCTGTTTTTCTTTTTACTTAGCTTTAAGATCTAAAAAAAAACTTCTGGACAATTACGGCCTTCATTTTTTTAATTTTAACTTGGATTAAACCTGTTATACCATCAGGTGGTGCAGGTAGAGGGAAAAAGTTTATTTTTTTTTCTTAGCTCTCACTTCGAAATTTAGTGATTGTGTGTGTTCTCCCATCATTAGCAAGCAGATGCAACACAGTTCATAACACTCAGAACCAGCATTAACAGTAGTACGGGCCTGCGCAGGTGCATATCTAACATTCTGCGCAGATGCATATCTTAACACATTCTGCGCAGGTGCATATCCCAACATATTCGATTCACAGTAAATAAGTTAGGCG